TTTTTTTTTTTTTTTTTGTGGTTTTTATTATTTTTCTTATATTTTCTTCTCTAAACATTATTTAAAGTGGTCTATGTTTAATTTTTATTTCTCTGAGTATACCTGCTCCTTATAGCCCACTTCCTAATCTATTGTGTGTGTACCAAAACCAGATAACCAAGCTTATCAGAGATGGTTTGTTTTTTGTTTGAATGTTTATTTCTGAAAGAGAGACAGCCAAAGTGCAAGCAGGAGAGGGGCAAGGAGAGAGAGGGAGACACAGACTCCAAAGCAGGCTCCAGGCTCTGAGCTGTCAGCACAGAGCCCGATGTGGGGCTGGAACTCAAAAGCCATGAGATTGTGACCTGACTGAAGTGGGACGCTTAATCGACTGAGCCCCCCAGGGTCCCCCAGAGTTAGTGTTTTTGAATAAAGAATAAATATGTGCTGAGTTAGGGCCTGAACATCTCTCCTATGAATAAAATATCCGAGTTTTATTTGGTATATGGGCTATGTGAAATTCATTAACTAGCAAATATTTGTTGAACACTTCCCCTGTTTGTAAAACACGGTGGTAAATGTATTTGTTAATGGTTTGCGGGGAGAAATAAGGACTCAGTTTCATTTCTCTCTTCACTTCCTTCTTGGTTATGTTCCAGAGAGTTGATGTTGCAGACAAGCAGCCTCCCCTCATGTGAATTCTATGTTACCGCAGAATAGGGGCAACTCAAGTGTGTTTAGGTATCAGTTGTACTGAGGAATGTTTGACTTTACGTTTGTCTACTTTTAGCAACCTCGGGAGTAGAAACTTATTCCAGTGAATTTATTGTAAACATTCTGAACTTGTAAATGCAGGCAACTATTTTCTCAGTGATATAAGGGTAAAGGAAAAGAGATGCTGTGAGAGAGAGGAAGGCATCGCAGAGGTGACGGGGTGCGGGCAAGCAGACTGCAGGCTTAGGCTGACCTTTGACTGGTGTGCTTGTAAGCGCATATCCTTGGCCAGTCACTTTTCTCTGAGCCTCATTTTAAAATGCGAAACCCTGTCAGTCTCCTAAAATTATCATAATTACAGTGAGATAACGAAGTTGAGAATGCTTTATGAACTGTAAAGTGCTTTAAGCAGAAGGCGGCAGTCAAAGCAGCGGTGAGAAATGTGGAGCGAAGCTTCACTATGAAAGGGTCACTAAAGCCACGCTATTTCCAGAAAGAGAGAGAGCGAGCGCAGAGGGACATTAGAAAGAAGACAAGAAAAGTGGTTGAGTGCTTTTGCTTTATGATGTGTGTGCCCAAGACTGTGTTAAAAATTAATCCTTACAGTAGCCTTTTAAATGTGCACTTTCCGGAAACTAAAATAAAAATAAGATTAGATCAAGGATATGGGGAAGGAAGAAGAAATCTTTTGAAGCAAAAGCCAACCAACTCAGTCGTTGAAATCAGCCACACATAAAGCTGCAATAGGGGTATGGAACCATACTGGTGTTCTGTCTGCTTTTAGACTAGTCTTCTTGAGAAGAGGAACTGGGTTTCTGTGGGATTTACAAAAAGACATTTAATGGAATGGATTAAATGAGTTGTTTGGTTTCTGCGATTCATTCTTAAAAGCAAAGCACTTACCAATTTTAATACTGTTTTCAAATAGACCTGGGACCAGTGTGAAAAGAAAATCAAGGAGTTGAAAAGCAGGCTGCAAGTTTTAAAGGCACAAAGTAGAGATCCTCTTCCAGAACTTCATGAGGACCTCCATAAAGAAAAAGAGCTGATTAAGGTATTGAAAGCTGCAAAGTCGCGTTCCAGATAATCACTTAGCGGTTTTCAGAGACGTTGAAGTGTTTGCCTTTCTATCCTGTGTTGAAACCGTGTTTCCATGTTCAGTCAGAAATCGTTACACTGAAACCTGTTCCTTAACAAATGACCTTGTCTTTGAAATGAGAGTAAAGTATTATTAAAGAATTCCTTTTTTAGCAGCCAATAAATGGGTTGCAGTTTTTGCTCAAATCTCACATCTAAAAAAAAAACAAACATTTTTTTAAGTATTTTATTTGTTTTTGATAGAGACAGAGCACAAGTGGGGGAGGGGCAGAGAGAGAAGGAGACACAGAATCCGAAGCAGGCTCCAGGCTCCGGAGCTGTCAGCACAGAGCCTGACGCGGGGCTCGAACTCACGAACTGTGAGATCATGACCTGGGCCAAAGTCGGACGCTCAATCGACTGAGCTACCCAGGCGCCCCTCAAGTATCACATTTTTATAAAACCTTCCAAACTATATTCTGCCTAGTTGATACAGCTCTGACAATTATTTGTGGATATTTTAGGTCTTTGCAGAAATGGAATAGTATCAGATCTATAGATAAATTTGGGGAAAATAAACATCTTTTTGATATTGAGTACTCCTATTCTTGAATATGGCATGTTTCTCCTTTTGGTTGTATTCAATAATTTATAATTTTCTTTAGTATTGAGCATCTTTTGTTACATTTATTTTTTCCATGTTATTTTTTAGACTATTGAAATACTTTTTCTAATTATACTTTCTATTTACCACTTGTGCCTAGAAATGATCATTTTTGATTCATATTATATTCAACCATCTTGTTAAACTGTTTTGTTAATTCCAATAATTTGTCTATATAATCTTTTGGGACAGTCACCATCTGTAAAAAATGACTTTTTTTTTTTAATTTCTTCCTTTTATTTCCATACTTATTTTTTTTTTTTCCCTGTACTTTCTACACTGGTCAGTACCTCCAGAACATTTTTTAGTAGAAGAATCGGTAACTGGCTGCTTCACGTCATTCCTGGTTTTAAGGAGAATGACTCTGACATTTCACCATTAAGTATGGTATTTGCTAGTGATGGCTTTATTAGGTTAAGAAAATTCCTATCTGTCCCTAATTTTCAACCTTTTTATTATCTCCACATCTTTAAGTGTAGATCTAGATCTCGGGGACAGAGGAAGTTGGAGTCACTCTCTCAGTTGATCCCCATAGCGTTTCCTTCCATAAAGTCTAGAAACCAGGGCAGAATGTGAACTGTAAACTCATAAGAAGGCATATTGTGTCCCAAGTGTCACACTCTTCAGTTTCCACAGCCGCCATGTTCTGCCTCTCAGTGTAAAAATCAGGAAGAGAGGCCAAAAGCATTGAGTTCATCGATCCCATGACCATATTCCAAAACGAACTCAAGTAACCTGAAGCCTGTCTAGGAGACTGCTTATCATCCCTAAATCAGTGGAGAGAGATATACTAACCACTTGACCAGTCTGGGCTTTGCTGTCCTCCTCAGAAGATCACATTGTCATTACATCTCAGCTGACACATGGAATAGCACTTCGTGAAATACTAGCGTTTCACTTTTATGGACATCTGTGTTCAAATGATTGAGTTTGGGGGACAGTTTTTATTTTTAAAATAATTTTGTCAAATGATTGAGTTTGTCAAATGATTGAGTTTGGGGGACAGTTTTTATTTTTAAAATAATTTTTGAGTAAGATTGTCAACATGGCTCAAAATTCAGAAGGTGCAAAAGGCATACATGAAAAATGTTTTAATGTTTTATTTAATTTTGAGAGAGCGTGAGCAGGGGAGGGGCAGAGAGAGAGGGAGTCAGAGGATCTGAAGTGGGCTCTGAGCTGACAGCAGCCAGCCCATGTGGGGCTCAAACTCACGAACCACGAGACCATGGCCTGAACGGAAGTCGGACGTTCAACTGACTGAGCCACCCAGGTGCCCTGAAAATTTTTTCTCCTGTTGGTTTTTCTCAACAGAGGTAATCAGTGTTACCAAGTTGTTCTGTATTCTTCCAAAGATATTCTATGCATATACCAGCCAGTATTTATATACATACACGTTTTTTGGTCCTGTGTTTACCCAAATGGTAAGGTTGAAAAATGGGACTTGGCAATCCCCCTGGTAAGTGAGTCCACAGGCAAAGGCTTTAATGCTGCTGTGCTGTGTTAGAGTCCCATTCATTTCATGTAATCAAAGAACGAAATTTTACATCTCATGTTCTATGAACAATGGGAATCTTACAGGCAATATAGACAGTTTCTCTGGTTAAATTAAGAAAAAACACTTACCTGAGTGGCATGTTCCCTTTTGCAGTTATGATTTGGTAGCAAGTCTGGAGTATTTTCATTTAAAGACAGAAGCATGATTTTTGAAATATTTGTACAAATAGTGATCAACCGTAATAAACCTCCACAGTCGACCTCGCTCTATATATTCTTTGATGATTCTTTGCTTTTCTTACTTTATGAACATTTTAAAGTTCTTGAGACCCTGCCAAATTGCTTTCCTTTCAGTCGTACATTTCTGTATCTCAATCATACATTTGTGTATCTGAGGACTTAAGTACACAAGGCATCACGGTAGGTGCTCAGCAATGGATTGGTGAACTGGGTGGTCATTGCTGGCCGGTAATGGAACTGACGGTTTAGACTACTTGAGAGATACATGCTAACCAAAGAGCCTCACTCGTCTGTGTGTGTGTGTGTGTGTGTGTGTGTGTGTGTGTGTGTGTGCGCGCGCGCGTGAATAAGTATGGTGAATGTTAGACAGGAAAAGGACAGGGGACTACAAGAGTGTAAATAAAACAGGGGTCCCAACCTTGTCTGATGACTCAGAGAAGGCTCCTCTGAGGAATCACCCTTATGTCTGAGATCTGAAAGTATAAATGGGAATTAACTAAATATATTTGTGGAAGCATCAGGGTGAAAGAGTGGGTAGCATCTCAACTAAGTGAAGAAATACAAATTTAAATAATAACTAATGATTATGCATATTAAATTTGTCCAGTATATGTATTAAACTTGTCCAACATTAGGCATATTAAACTTGTCCAAATTTTAAACTTGTCCACTTATACATATTTATCCAAAGGTACATATGTATATGTGCATATATATGTATGTATATGTGTGTGTATATATACATATAGATATATATATGTATATATACACACACAACATACATATATATGCAACATATACATATATATATAACAACACAAAGTATGTGAAGAAAGATACAGCCATTCTTCTTAGAATGCAATTTGGCAGTATTTATTAAGAATTATAAAAATGTCCATATTCAAAAGTTCTACACCTGTTCGTTATCCTTTCAACTGTAGAAGGAAACCAAGCATCCAAATCAAATCAATTTAAACCTGGCTGTGGAAAGCCTAAACATGCCTCCATGACCATGCAGGCATCTGAGCCCACACCTCTGAGCAGGGCCATGGACAGGCTGAGCTTCCTGGCACCAGACTGAGAAACACTCTGTGTAGCTCACAGTCTTGGGGTCTTTAGTTTTAAGTCAGTGAGTGGTACGCATCCACTTATGAGTCATTCCCTTTATAGCCTATAGCTAGCAAAAGTGTTCCACACAGAATCTGCTCTCATCCACTTTACTAGAATCATGAGGGTAAAAGTAGGTAACAAGAGTTTAAAGATTTTTCTTCTTTTTTTCTTTTCTTTTTAATGCTTTAAAAAAAATTTTTTTTTTATTTTTTTTTTTTTTAACGTTTATTTATTTTCGAGACAGACAGAGACAGAGCATGAACAGGGGAGGAGCAGAGAGAGAGGGAGACACAGAATCTGAAACAGGGTCCAGGCTCTGAGCTATCAGCACAGAACCCGACGCGGGGCTCGAACTCACGCACCGTGAGCTCATAACCTGAGCCGAAGTCGGACGCTTAACCGACCAAGCCACCCAGGCGCCCCTAAAAAAATTTTTTTAATGTTTCTTTATTTTTGAGAGAGAGGGAGGCACAGAATCCCTAGCAGGCTGCAGGCTCTGAGCCGTCAGCACAGAACCCAGTGCTGGACTGGAACCCACAAACCGTGAGATCATGACCTGAGCTGAAGTTGGACACCTAACCAACTGAGCCACCCAGGCGCCCCTCCATGCAACCTTTAAAAAGAGTTCTGTGGGCCATTTGAGTAAATGTAAATTTCTGTCAGCAAGTTATGCAATCATGCCAATGTAGCTTTTAGAACTCTGAAAATGAATCAGGATTAACACATTTCTATTGTTGCCACCCCTCAGATTATTTTTGATGTAAGTAAAATAATCTCTTCTTTCTACTGCAATAGACGGGTACAAATGAAGACCCTTTAAACGTGCCAAAGAAAAATCTGGAGGATTCTTGGGTTCCTTTTACCCCCTCTGTTGTGAAAGCACTTTTCGTAAGTCCTAGAATTCAGAAAGTTTAAATTTGACACATTTTAAAAAATAATTGTTTTCATGCCCAGAGATTTTGTGCTAACCAGTTTCTGCGAAATATTAGGGAAGAATTTATTTTTTCTTCCATTATATTCATTTTTGGGGGGAAGCTTAACCAAAATAATTCTGTTGAACAGAAGCCGTTGTTATGATGTTATGATTGCCATGGTAGCAACAATACATTTCTTAGGTGTTTTTTTTTTTAAGATGGGAAATAACACTTGATAGGACATTTCTGTAACATTGTTTCAGAATTAAAAGTGTGTGTGTGTGTGTGTGTGTGTGTGTGCGCGCGCGCGCGCGCGCGCGTGTGCAAGAGAGAGATTGTTGCCAGCCTCCAAAAATAATTTCTTCTCAATAAAGGTAAAGACCTACATGACTTTAAAATAGAACTAATTCTATAAAAATCTGAACTATCTGAGCAAAGGAAAATAAGGTAGAAAGGAGTTTTCCTTTGAGAAAAGGGTGGTGAAGAACCGGCCAACCACAACAGCAGCCGCTGCCCTGGGCTGTTTCTCATTCCGAAGGTCCCGCCCCCTTCCCTGGCCTCCCCTCCCCCAGACCAATCAAAGGATTAGCCTACAGGTTTGGAAACAACAGCAGCTTGAGTTGAAGGGTTGTTTTTTTTCCCCCCTTGTTGTGTTTAAATGCAGGAACTAGAGAAGTCTTTGGCCAACTGGACCCAGAACTTGAAAGAACTTCACACTCTGAAGACCGACTTAACCCAGCACATTCTTGCGGAGGACGTGATGGTTTTGGAGGAGCAAACAGAGCATTTGCACAGACAATGGGAAGACCTCTGCTTGAGAGTAAGTCAGTTAACTGCAGGGCACGGCTGTTCTGGAGTTTATTGAAATGTCTCCAAAGGCCAGACAAAGTAGAAAGGGGCTTAATTTCATTGAACCGGAGGCCCTTTTCAATTGGAGCCCAGGCTGGCTGCTGTGCCTTTAGAAGGCAGCAACATGGTTAACAGATTTGACCCTTTGTTTCTCCAATGCTCAATGCTGGAGGTTTGCACACTTTTAATAAGCTTTTTAAAAACTCACCTTAAATGGGGTGGGGGGGTGGGGAATTGCAGTTACCGGCAGCTGTGAGCTTTCTGCTCTCTGTCTTACACAGATGACCAGTACCCACTGGTATATTAGAATCAGGACTTCAGCAAAGAGGTCTTGTCCGGCCTTAAGAGCAATGTCTCTGCAGTATCTCTCTGGGCCCAGTGAGCAGCAACAGTCTTACTTAGTGCCTGACACAGGGGTATTTCATCTGAGAACTCGGTATTCACATGCAATCCGATGTTCCTTTCAAGTAGCTGGTTTTTTAAAACTCTCTAAAAGAAACCATCCACAGCTACACGTAGTACCTCCATGGATCACTTCTCCTTAATAAACATTGGATCGTGGTTAGAGTATGATAATAGTACATGTTTGTGACAGGATGGAAAGGGTTCGAAAAGGACTTTGTTTTGAGAACATATAATCCTAAGAAAAATAAATTCCTTAATCTCATTTTTGTGAATGAAGAAGTGTATTTAAAAAATGAAATTCACTTTTGAGTGCCTTTGAATAAAGTAAAATAATTTTTTCTTCTTGATTTTAGTATTTAACATTCACAATGAACCATAATTTTAAATGATCTCTTAGAATTTTTGTTCATATTTTATATAAAAGAAAATATTTAGAGTATGTGAAAAGCCTTCTAAAACTTAAGGTAGAAGCGGGAGACTGGGGCCCAGATGTTCTTTTAATTGTTACCATTAGGAAACCAATCAGAATGGCGCTGTGCAAAATGCCAGGATTTTAAAAAGCTAAGATAAATAGATGCCCTCAGGAATGGAAACACAAAACTTGTTTTTTAGGGATAGTTCTTTGAGCCTTCGTAACACGTTTGGCTGGGTGAATGTATAAGCATTAAGTCTTTGTGCCTCACTCTGAGAAGATTACTTGTTTTCATTGTACATAGCAGGAAAATCTCTGGGAGTTCTACCTTAGTTTCCCCATCTGCAAGGTGGGGTGTTAAAACTTTATCTGGGCTTGCATGAATGGTTAAGCCGTCCGACTTCAGCCAGGTCACGATCCTCAAGGTCCTGTGAGTTCGAGCTCCCGCTGCCTGGCTCTCTGGCTGATGGCTCCTGAGCCTGAGCCCTGCTCCTGACCTGTGTCTCCTCCTCTGCCCCCCCCCCCCATGCTCTGTCTCTCTCTGTCCCAAAATAAATAAAAAACGTTGGGAAAAAAAAAAATTTAAAACTTTATCTGGGACTCAGCAGTTTGGATGTAATCCTGGTTGTCCCAGGAGGCTTCTGAGTCTGGCCAGGCTCTGTGCTGACAGCTCAGAGCCTAGAGCCCGCTTTGGATTCTGTGTCTCCTTCTCTGCCCCTCCCCCGCTCATGCTCTGTCTCTCTGTCTCTCTCTCAAAAATAGATAAACATTAAAAAAAAAAAAAAAAAACTTTATCAAAAGAACTCTTAGCTACTTCTTTTAACCCTGAGATTCTAAAGATTTTTAAGAGCTGAGAATACTTTTGTACATTTAGAAAGTCTGATTTGCATTCTTTATACTTAACTTGTAAATTTGAACCCTTTAAGGAGGAAGAGCCTTTGTGGAAGTCAGCTTAGGGGTTGCTAATGCATAATAGAGCATTGGGTATGTGGGGTCAGCCTGCTCACTACAGACCAGTATGTGGTTCCATTTCCATACTTTGCATCCAAAGCCAGAGGGCATAATGGGAAGGTGGATTAAATGAGAAATGTGCATTTGTTTTTTAATTTTACTTTGCTTTATTTTGGAAATCTACCACTAAAATGGTGAAATAATTTTAATTTTTAGTCCATTTGCATTATAAATGTTAAATTAATGTTTTGATCTAGATTTATAGTTTTTAAGTTGAATAGGCAGGACATTGGCCTTAAATAGAAATAAGGACTTGGTCATTTTTAAAAAGGTAAAAGATTTGGGAGCATCTGGGTGGCTTAGTTGCTTAAGTGTCTAACTCTTGATTTCAGCTCAGGTCTTGATTAGGGTCGTGAGTTCAAGCCCCATGTTACATGCTGGGTGTGGAACCTGCTTTAAAAAAAAAAAAAGTAAAAGATTTGGGTCATAAAACTGTAAATTAGCATGTAGCAAGCCATCGATAAAGGTATATTGAAAGAACAAGGATCAGAAGAAATTTGGGTGATGTTTACTGTTTTTTAGCTTATCTTTCCTATCTAATTTTTAATATGACCTGGTAATAGTAGATATGCATTGAATAAAACTGAATTCTTTCGGTCAGTTACACTTCAGACATAATCTTTATTGTGTTGCTTTTATGGCATTTTTCAAAAGGTGTAACTGTTGGGGCACCTGGGTGGCTCAGTCGGTTGAGCATCCAACTTCAAGCTCAGGTCACAATCTCACAGTCCGTGAGTTCGAGCCCCACGTCAGGCTCTGTGCTAACAGCTCAGAGCCTGGAGCCTGCTTTGAACTCTGTGTCTCCCTCTCTCTCTTCCCCTCCCCCACTCACGCCCCCCACCTCTGTCAAAAATAAACAAACATTTGAAAAAAATTTTTTTAAAGAAAAAAAAAGGTATAACTGTTGATGTTGAACCCTAGGTAGTGGGTAAAGTTATTTAAGTCTACAGGGTTACTGATTAAAATGAATGAAATTCATAGTGTTTTTAATGGGGGGAAGGGAAAGGAAATAGTTTCCTTCCTGCCAACACTCAGCTGCCAAATTCATTTTCATTTCCAGGTGGCTATACGCAAACAGGAGATTGAAGACAGACTCAATTCATGGATTGTGTTCAATGAAAAAAATAAAGAGTTGTGTGCATGGCTGGTGCAGATGGAAAACAAAGTTCTACAGACAGCAGATCTTAGTATTGAAGAAATGATTGAAAAGTTACAGAAGGTAAGCAGGAATATCCAGATGGTTGCCGTTAGGACTGCCTCGGAATTCTCTGCCCTCATTCCCAGGCTCACAGTGGCCTAACCTGTTAGATATGTTTCTAATAACATTGCAGAAATTTGAACGCCTTTCTTGCTGTCTTTATTCCTTCGCAGAGAAAAGTTGGTAAGTGATGGGGGAGATGTGGGACCATCATAGGAGGGCATGAGGCTTGTTGTGCCTACTCTCAGGAAGTCTGGCCAGAGCAGGGCTCTTGTCAGCTTAAGCATCAGTTCATACGCCAGGGGTTGTGGCTTCTCTGGTTGTCGCTATGAGGGAGCTCTCCTCGCCAAAGGGGAGACGCCAACAGCAACTGGGGCTCATAATTTTTGAAATGGCCACCAGGCTCCACAGGGAAAGGCTTCTTGCCACGGTCACCCAAAATGCCACTCGGTTATTGCAAGAAAGCTCTTACTGGGGCTTCTGAGTGGCTCGGTCGGTTAAGCATCCCAATTCGGCAGAGCCTGCTTCAGATCTTGTGTCTCCCTCTCTCTGCCCCTCCCCGACTCACACTCTTTCTCTCTCTCTCTCTCTCTCTCTCTCTCTCTCTCTCTCTCTCAAAAATAAATAACTTTTTAAAAAATTTGCTTAGAAAGAAAGTGGGGCGCCTGGGTGGCTCAGTCGGTTGAGCACCTGACTTCGGCTCAGGTCATGATCTCACGGTCTGTTGAGTTCGAGCCCCACGTCGAGCTCTGTGCCGACAGCTCAGAACCTGGAGCCTGCTTCAGATTCTGTGTCTCCCTCTCTCTTTGACCCTCCCCCCTTCATGCTCTGTCTCTCTCCATCTCAAAAATAAATAAACATTTAAAAAAAGTTTTTTTAATAAAAATAAAAAAGTAAAAAGATAACTACTGGGGCGCCTGGGTGACTTGGTTAAGCGTCCGATTTCGGCTCAGGTCATGATCTCACCATTCCCGAGTTTGAGCCCTGCGTCAGGCTCTGTGCTGACAGCTCAGAGCCTGGAGCCTGCTTCAGATTCTGTGTTTGCCTCTCTCTCTGCCCCTCCCCCACTCACACTCTGTCTCTATCTCAAAAGTAAATAAACATTAAAAAAAATTTTGTTTAAAAAGTTAACTACTGCCTTACGTATTACACATGAGCCAAGTGGGTGTTGTTTGACTTTTTAGCTACTCACTGAAGAGTTGCATTAACAGGTAAGAGAAGTTTTTGAATTCTTCTTTAATTTCAAGAGGCGCCTGTATGTTTGTGACTGGCGAAGAAATGAATTTTCAGTAGTAACTGAGGCTTTTGTGTTTTGGTGCCTTTGCCAGGACTGCATGGAAGAAATAAACTTGTTTAGTGAAAACAAGTTACAGTTAAAGCAAATGGGTGACCAGTTGATCAAGGCCAGCAACAAGACAAGAGCAGCTGAGATTGATGACAAGCTCAACAAAATCAATGACCGCTGGCAGCATCTTTTTGATGTCATTGGATCAAGGTGAGAAATGGCCTAGAAGTTACTCTTATTTCCTAGGCACCATGGTGACGTCACACATCCAGAAACTAAGCTTAGTCGCCTCCAAAGCAGCCTAGCAGTTTCATAAACTTAGGAAGGCAAACTTCGGTTGAAATTCTTATTTCAACCTTTTAGGAAGATTGTATTTTCATATATGAGACTTCAGTGTTTTTTTCTTTAGCTTAAAATTTCATGTGAAGTTAGGTTTAATTTGAGAAGAGATCCTGGACGAAGTATTTAGAAACTTCAACTCTATTTCAGTGCTTGTGTGTCCCCCGGATGAAATCGTCTCTGCCTGTCCCTGCTTGTACGTAGGCAAATGCAAGTAGGTCGGGACATGTGCCTGATTTCTAGATGCTGGTCTGCAGGCCCCAGTGGGCATCTGGTCCTACAATGTGGCCTTAGGAGGCGTGTCGGTGGCCACAAATCAAAGCTATATTCTCAGTGCAACCTTATCAGAAATAAGACTGGTGATTTTTATCTCCCCTCACAGAGTAATGAAGCTGACACCACCCAGAGCTTTTAAGTGTCTTTTGTCTTCAAATTCTCTCTCCAAAGACAGACCCCAACCGAAATGTTTTTCACGTGCAACCTGGCGTGCAAAAAATGGTCCCTCAGCTCTGGGACCACTCATGTAGCTTTGTATTTATACCGGCCATGCAAGTCTCTTCTGTAGCAGTGTGCTCAGATATTTGGAACACGCCTGAGATGCAGAATATACAGGAGGACCTGTAAGGAGAATGAGGAATTAGGGAGCAATGAAAATAAGATGCTCTTAATAATTTGGCATTTATTTCCTTGACCTTACTGTTTACTGTAAACCGTAAGTGAACCTGATTCAATCAGCAAGGGCGCCAGGCTAAGGGCTAGGAGAATTACAGACAGGAAGTAAGATTAGTCAATTACGTTAATGGGAGCAGACATCTGAGCAGCTGTAAAGCCAAGTGGTTTGAGAGCTCAGAGCTCATCTTTCTGGAGTGGGGGCAGGAATGAGGAGGAGGCTTTCAGAGGAGTGGTGTTTCCAGATGGTCCTGAGTGATGGGTTGAGATCCTCGAGGGTTACTGGTGGCAGAGACCGTTACGTTGTGAGCAAAAGGATACAGGGATCGAGCAGCTTGGAAGTCTTTCAGAAAATAACAAGAAACTCCATTGGCTCAAATGTAGGAGATGAAGCTAGAGAGGTAGATCAGGGCTAATGCTTAAAAGACCTTCAATCTCAACCGAAGATTTGGCTTGCTAAATAAAGTCTGAGTCATTCATGGTTCTTTAGCAGTGGAGGGTTTGCCAAAACAAGTATTAGGGTGATTTGGCTGGCAGCATAGGCTGGGCTGAATTTAACTTGTCTGTATTGCCAGTTGAAAAAAAAAAATCTGTAGAAATCCATGGTGGTAACCCAAATAAGGATTAAGAGCACAGGTTTTGAGCACATCCTGCCTTTCCCACTTACTGTAGAAACTTGAGTGGTATCTAACCTTTATTTTATTATTATTTTTTTTAACATTTATTTATTTTGGGGACACAGAAACAGAGTGTGAGTGAGTGGAGGAGGGGCAGAGAGCGTGGGAGACACAGAATCCAAAGCAGGCTCCAGGCTCTGAGCGGTCAGCACACAGCCCGACGCGGGGCTCGAACTCACACTGTGAGATCATGACCTGAGCTGAAGCTGGACACTGAACCAACTGAGCCACCCGAGCACTCCAGATCTAACCTTTCTAAGCCTCAGTTTCCAAATCTGCAAACTATGTCCAATAGCACTGCTTACGTCAGAGGCTGCTATGAGGATGAATGGTTTGTGTCTCGCATGTGGCACAGGACCAGCCTGTAGGAGCCAGCATTCCCTGAGTGGCTGTTATCATTGTTTTCCCCTAAGAAGACTGTAAGACGAAGTAGCATGTTTATTAAATGGGAGAGGATTCCCTCAGTTGTGTCTGATACTAAGAGGTCTTTCTTCCGGGAGACCAGTGTCTTTGACTCTCTTAAATTCCCAGTGCTTAGAACAGTGCCTCAGAGAGGCACCTGGGTGGCTCGGTTGCTTAAGCGTCCCACTCTTGATTTGGGCTCAGGTCATGATCTCATAGGCTCTGAGCTGGGCATGGAGCCTGCTTAAGATTCTCTGTCTCCTTCTCCCCCTGCCTCTCCCTCTGTCTCTCCCTCTCTTTAAAAAACAAAACAACAACAACAGAGCGTCTCAGATATTGGTTGACGTGAACATTTCAGTGCTTAAGAATGCGATCGTTTCTGTTAAGTAAATTGTGTCTAGTATGTCTTTGTTGACATTCTCTTTATATCCTAAGTCTTCTGGAGCACCTGGCGCTAATCAAGGGTATGATGACATCAGACCTGTTTATGGATCATTTAGGAGCAAGGTCTAGATTATGCTTCCCAAAGACTAGAGTGACAGTCCATTCTTTTTTTTTTTTTCTTTTTTCTTTTTTAATGTTTATTTATTTGAGGGGGGAGGGACAGAGAGAGAGAGAGGAAGAGAGAAGCCCAAGCAGTCTCTGCCCTGTCAGCACAGAGCCCACCTGAGGCTTGACCTCATGAAACTCGAGATCATGACCTGAGCCAAAAATCCAGAGTCAGATGCTCAACCAACTGAGCCACCCAGGTACCCCTGCAAGCTATATTCTTGACCATGTGCTTTTTACACATGATTTCACTTAATCGTCATTGTATTCTGAAAGGTAGATACCATTATCCCATTTTACAGATAAGGAGACTGAGAAGTTGAAGATGAGTAACCTGCCTGTAATTACATAGCTAGCATGTGAGGCGCCAGGATTTCCACTCATAGTGGTGTTGCCTCCCTGCTCCCCTAGACTCTTGCGGTTTGTAGCGAAGAGAACAGAATGAGAGTCTAATCCCTTCAAAACTAGAGGACTTGGGAGAGAGTAATTTCTCTTCTCTTAAAGCAAAGACCAGGTGAGACAGATGGCTGAGAGCCTAAGAAGCTCTGAGTGGGGTTTACCCTTCAGTTGACTTTGTGAGTTGAGGCAAGCTGAGACCTGCCATAGCCTCATGTGGAATTAACTCCTTGTCGGATCTCTGACACTGATTTCATGCTGGGTACTACGCAAAGGTGTCACCACTGAGGAAAGGGGTTGGGAGCACAGGCTGCAGAATTTAGATTTGAACAATGCCAAGCAGAACCTTTAGTGTCTTGGTTGATAAACTAGGCACAAGATCCTGGATGAGAGAGCAGCAGGACAGCTGTGGGTCTGTTTGCACGCATACACTATTAGCCTGGGGCGCAGTGCAGGGTGGTTACATGGTAATGAGGAGGAGAAAGCAGGCTTAGACCCAAGCCACTGTTCTTTCTCTACTTGTAAGCTGTTCTTCAGCTTCTGTAAAATCATTAAAGCAGAGAACCTGAAGGATACATCTCCCCAAATTACCAGCTAATCAAAGGAGGGAGCAGGGGAACCTAACCTCACATAAGGTTATATTGGCCTTGGGTGTAGACATCAAAATTCCGAGAAGTGGCTCTCCATCAGAATTGCTGCAGGAGATTTTCCCAATCGTCATGGGCCCTTGGGCAGCTGCTTACCTTAATGATATCTAAATTCATGTAAAACATGCTATTCATTTCACCGACAGAAAGGCCATTGAAGCACTATGTTTTTGTTTTTTTTTTTTTTTTTTT